TTCAAGTTTTCTTGCTGGGAGGAAATAGGTTTGGGTATTTTCTTCTGTTGATATATATGAGTATTTTAAATTCGAGTCATAGATGAAATAGGGAACCAAAGCAAGATATAAAGGCTATCTGAAGTGAATCAACTACGATGATCTTCAGACAAGAGACTAAAATATTGATTTAGTATTAATCGCTAAGCTGTGTATTTCAGTGGATGCTTGACATTTTGAAACCTGCTTTAAATGAAGAATTGAGCTGTGCTCTATCACCGTGAAACGAGTAGACATGCCTCCTTTGATAGAAGACCATTCAAAACTTTCAAAAACTTGTGGTGGCCGATCAATAAGCTCTGGAAGTAGCGGGATTATCTTGGCCGCAGATTACAACTGAATACCGAACGAGAATCTGACTCTTGGTATTTCATAAGGCAAATTCTCAACAATGATCAATTAGGGATACAATTAAACAAATTGCATTGAGGTGCTTGTCATTCGTGCTTTAAAGTATTGCACCTCGGTTTCTGGGAAGAAAAGATACAACCATCATATAGTAAAGGCTAAATAGTTGAGTTTTTCAGCAAACACACTTTTTAGCTGAATTCTCCAGCTTTATGATATGTATGACGCTATAAAAAGTAGCTTATTGAGATCAAACGAGGCGATTCAGTCTGCCTTAGAACTGTGCCTCAGTTGCTATTATTTGCTTGAATCGTGATTTGAAATACTCGTTCAAAATGTTGGCAATCCAATTCAGAAGCCATCAGTTCCGTTAACCGTGAACTCATTAATTAGGCAACGCAACTTCCGAAGCTCTCCTATCATTACCCTCATGTCTTGTTTCTAGAAGCATTAGCATTGGAGGTGTCAATCGAACAATTTACCACACAGACATGAGAAATGTAAACGTTTTTTTTATTATTATTATGCAACTAATTTTATTTCTAGATACCATTGTTTAAGATCTTCTGATATATCAGCTTTAGCGATAGACACTATAAAGTTCCACTTGAAAGTTTCTTTTCCATTGGATTTTTCAGTCATCGATTGCAATGTACAGTGTCAGTGTTCTTGAGTAAATTAAAGTTTTCGGTTCAAGATATTGTATTCAAAACGTTAACTGTCATGTAAGATTTATAAATTGCTGCTTGCTACTTGAAAGATGCAGGTGGCTTGATGTCTTTGTCTCAGCGAAATATCATTTGTCTATTCAGCTAAAAGTGGAGTTGGTGGAGAGCTCAGACTTTGTAGTTTACGACAATAAATGAAGTCATTAAATAATGTGAAAACGTTATTCATCTCATATAAAAAGAGTGGGGATCAAGAATTCAAAAAAGTGTATCCATATCAGCTCTTGCAAATGGTGAAACAAATTAGACTGCTGGTAGTAGCTGCTACTTTACTATCCTATATTCATGCTGCCCCTACAAACATGTCATACAACAACAGATCACCTTTTGCAAAGAGAGGCGACTCTTTTCAATGCTCTTCAGATGATAATCCTTTGCTTATGGTATTAAAAGCTTGACGCTTGTATAAGTTACGATAAACTAATCATACAATAGTTGACTCACTTCGCTGCCGTCTTCTTTGGTGATTTTGATACGGATGGCGGTCAAGATATCCTCGGTCCTTTGGCCGTTCAAAGTGATTTCAAAGCAAGTGACTATTATGTCAATGCGAATGGGGATCCTGATTGTTCTGATCCCAATGATATAACTGGATATGCTCGAAGTAATCGGTAATTGGAATGGCCCTCAAGGAATGTATTGGCCCTCTGATGGCACCTTAGTATTCAATGTAGGTACAGCTCATGTACCATTGAAACCAAGTATTAACGTTTTTACTACTAGATTCCAATTGACTTTGGATCTCCCTTTACTCTCAAGGGCAATAACCCCACAAACGGTCTAGATCCCTGTAGAACTATTTTCAATTTCTATCCTTCTGACTCTTCGGGCGTATACAGCTCTAGAGATATCACCCTCAAGCGTAACACAGGAAGCAATTTTGGCGGATTTTCCTTGGCCCCTGAAGGTAAGATACCTCTCATGACACTGCAATAACACGATTATTGACTTGCTTTGTATAGCACACATTGTGGACGGAAGCACTGGAGCGTTTTCCGGTACTGTTGTCGGCCAAGACTATTCTTGGGGTGGCAGTGGCGTTGAAATACATAATTACAGTGCGGCCGGTGGTAGCTGTTCAGCGTTTGCTGGTTGCTTTCCCATTTATGATGACCAGCCTCTTTCACCTGTAACGACTGAGACATCGTCTGCTGCTACTACTAATACTAGCACATCTTTGAAATTATCATTTACAACTGAACCTAGTGTGCCTACAACCATCACTGAGCTATCTAGTACTGTGGCTACCACCTCCACTGACTCATCGACTTCTGATGGCACTACTACTACAAGCAGCAAGCATCATCACGGTACCACTTTTAGCACTGGTTCATCAAGTACTGACGTCGCGACAAGTTCCACAGTGGCTCAGGTCACCACCACGACAGCCAACCACGGTGGCCAAACATGTCTTCCAAGTTGGGTCACTGCCACTGTTACAGTTGTCAAGTATATCACCATTAGAGCTTAGAAATCATCATCTCATTTTCAATAAAATTTTTCATATGGGATTCTGATAATGATTTCATCCTGCTCAAAAGCTCCTCTTTAATTGGTAGTTTGCCTCAATGGTGATCTTCCTTTACGAGCATACAAAATATAAATCAAATGGAGTGTTGAATGACATGAATGGGTGTCATGGCTACCGTTTTATTCTATTAGTGCAGATCTTGAGAAAAAGAATTCGGATGATTAAACAAAATCAAGGTTTGGTGTATCTGTGGAACTTGATTACCATCAACTGTTTACACAGAGTCCAGCTCTTTACATCTAAATTGGCATTGTTTTATTTTTGTTGCTTAAATTCGTTAAGGAGGAGGTTTCACTGCCAATGCGAATGGAGTGTGTCTTTTCTTAGATACGCAAATAATCGATGAATCAATTACATTTCGACAATAAATCAAGTGCAGCATCTAATCTAAACCGTGTTTGATTCTAGCTACAAGAACGTGAACACAGAGCGAGACAAATGTATCATAATAATGAGTAAGGAAATATCAGTAGCTATTGTATATCTGATTAAGCATCACGTAAGATCATGTTTCATATTGAACTATAGAAGCTCGCTGTGCCTAAAGTAGACGGATTCGGTCTATCAGCTTCATTCTTATTTGTTACAAGTAGTAAAGCACATGATATATGTACGCAACTGATTTTTGTATGGAATGATATTCTGAAGAAGAAAGGAAATCTGAAGGCACATTAGCTAAATAGAAGCTTAAATCAAAGGAACAAGAAGATATGCCAGCATTCACCAATCAAGAAAGTCAATCAGGCTACTGCCGGAGTCAATGATTCAGCACTGATTGACCTTGAACGGCTGGACGCTATGAATCACAATTAGGATTACCACAAATTTACAAGTTCAATGCACATTTTAGAAATCATCACTAGGTATGGTATATCATTTCAGCTACATTATGAAAGGTCCCCGAGGACGTCTTCAGTAACAAGAAAAGACTGATCTTTTGAAAATACCTGTTCAAGATACTCGAGCTTTCTACTGGAACAAAAATTAATTAATGTAACAGTTTGAGAGAGCCTCGCATAGCTGACATCCCAAAATGCCATTATTTCATTTCATTCGCTACTTTAAATAAATTCTATTGAAAACCTACAAAAAGCAAAATTGTATCTTGAATGTGTACCCAAATGATATAAGTTACCCATATTTATGATAACCTCTGTATTGCAGGTTACTTGCAGACAAAACTGTCTTATTAAGCTTTCGTTTGGTAGTTGATGTGGCAATATAAGATGAGGATAAACGGTCCTTCAAAATTTTAAGTGCACATTTGTCATGAGCAATTTTTTTTCTAGTTTCTACATTGATCACCTTTGTTTATATTTACGATACTTTTGACACAAGACCGTACCGCAAGCATGCAAAGGATCAATGCTTGCATGATGATTGGGAATTGGATCATCAGTAATTCTTGGTGGAATCCCAAACATTGAAAGGAATCGATCCAGCACAAGTAATCTCGATCGAGGTGATTCATTGTTGTGGTAACATGTGAATGTTCATCAAAGGCAAGAACTGCTGTGATTGTGATGGAATGCACTTATAAAAATGGATTTGATTTGGTAATGTAGTAGATCCAATACGCAAGTATCTTTAAATTAACGGTATGCGTTAGGGCCAGCGTCACTTTATAGCTAGGTTATAATAAGGGTTAGGTGATACGTTAAGCTTGTTCCTGTGGGTGATGTGATTGAGATTCACGAACCTGAGATACTGACAAGACTCGGAAGCTATCATGTACAATGCAATTGGATATAATGTGATGATGGTCAGTTGATGGTAATGAGATTGTTTACATTGATAATGATCATCTAATTGTATCAATTTTTATAGTTTTTTCAAGAAAAAGAAGGGCTCAAAACGCTTGCAACTTATTTGTATGAAGAGCTAACTGTCAAATCAGTAATAGCGAAAAACATAAAATCTCCGCCTAATACAAAGATCCTGCAAAAAAAATGCTCTATGCGAGGATCGAACTCGCGACCTTCGCGTGTCTTTAGTATATTTGAAAATATAAGCACGATGCTCTAACCAACTGAGCTAAAAGAGCCAACCTTACTGATAGAGAATTTACGTTTTAATATATTCTAATAAAGCACTTTTTTTTTCACTGCAAGTAAAGCGGATTTCCTGCGATTTTTATAGTATATGAAATCCAGTAAAAAAATAGTGAAAAATTTCAAGTTATAA